GGAAAGAATTTACGGAAAATTAACTAACGACTGGAGGTGTAACAATATCAATGTCCCGATAAAAGTAATGTTTATGTGTGTGTGGAACATTCTAAAATATAATTATTCTATTGTAGTTTAATTGTTTTATAAACTGGATTAATCTAAATCATAAAGAAAAAGTTATAACTTACATTAGTTTGAGAAATACAATGCTTATAAACCATAGCTTTACATCTTTACAGGCGTTTAGAAGAAACTAAAATATGTTTTACAGATTTACCTACTGAACGTGATCGAGCTTAATATTTTATGCCTGATGATCTTCACTCATAATAAATCTTTAATATATATATATATATATACATATATATATACTCCTGAATTACATCTTTTTCTATAAACTTCATTAACTACTTGCGTTAGTCATCTGCAATTAATTTAAAATATTTCATTCCATATTACAGTGAATAATCTGATTTATTACATTCCTTGTGCTAACACTCTTTAGTTAATAAACAAACGTTTTGTAGTTTGTATGTGAATACATATATGTAAACATATCTGTGTGTGTATAAAGAAAACGACATAATTCATATTCCTTTTAAATTCCATTTCCAAAATTATATTAAGCAATATTAGTTTTAGAAATGAAATACATCCTCTCACAAGATGTCACCAGCACTTAAAAATTATGCATAGCAAGAAACTTTTGTTTAATTATAACTATCATCAATTACAAATTACAGTTAGTAATATTAACTATGGCAAAAATTAAGAGTGTATTGTGTTCTTGTAAGCCACTTTTTTTAAGAATTTCCTTTCATCAGTTTAATATTTAATCTCGTCTTTAGGTATCCATTACTATTTTCAGCTTGATATATACCCATAAAACCATTTTAAAGGTGTAAACACTAGACATTTAAAAATTAACTATGGTTAGTTAATAAAAATATATATTAATGTTATATCATGGTAAAAAGTCATGTAAAAAATGTCACATTATTTTAAAAATTAATTTTTAATTTCGTCTGAAAATTATGTTATTATTATTATATGATCCGTTTTAATTCCTTTTTTATTAATTGGTTATTTTAACGCGTTTTTAATATTTCGTTACGATATTGTTCATGACATTTTTATCTAATTCACTGAACACAGCATATAATTTTTAAATAAATGTTTTAAGTTAAAGAGGTAGGAAGTTTAAAATACTTTATTAATACTCATTATTTAATAAGGTAATATTAAATAAAAATGATGTTCTGTCATCTAGTGGCAGAGAAATAAAATTGGAGCTCAGTTTTAATTATTTTGTTTTTTTCTCTTTTTAAGTTTCAAGCAAAGGAGAAACTTAAACAGTACCGCACCGCAGTTACTCTTGGAGCTATTGCCCTTGGATTCTTGCTGGCTGTAACCCCGTGGACTTTGACAACCTTGGTGTCCTCGTGCTTAGAAAAACAACTTTCAAGCACAGTCGAGTTCACTGTGACATGGGTTGCTGTTAGCAACAGCTTCTGGAATCCTATAATTTATGGAATGTTAAACAAATCCTTTAGATCCATAGCCGTTAAAATCATTCGGCGTACTTTCTGTTGCAAAGAAGTTAATTCTCATGTTTTAAAGTTATATAATTTGAATATGAAAACATATTAACTTTCGAGTTGTAATTTTCATTTGAGAGACGTTTTTAGTACAGATTTCACATCAAGTGTCATTAGTTTAATAACAGCTTAAATAAGGAATTTTTAATTGATTTTATAATAAATCTTGTTTATATTGTTATTCATGTCATGTGATCACATAAGAAGAGTATGTACGACAAACTAATAAGCAGAGGTTAAGTGTTCTATGACTATATCAATCCATATATCTAACATTACTAGCAAAGTTGTTAATTGGAAGATCAAACAGATAAAAAAAATGTGTCAGCGTAAGAGAAACATTCAAATAAAGACATTCCTGGGCTTATTTATTCAAGATTTTCATCAGAAAATTTAAGCGTTTCTCGAACACAGCTCGTTTTGGCATATGGTGTTCAAACAACAAATCATATCCGATTGTTTCTAATTAAAAGCTTTTCTTAAGAATGCGTAAAACAATCAAAAGAGAAACGTTAAAACTAGAAAACTTAAGTGTATTAATATAATGGTCATTCAATTTCTTAATAGCTATATATCTGCAAAATAAAGAATATAATGGAATAGGTTTTCTTCCTGGGCAATATTTAGATCAAGAGTGACACTGAATTTAACAAGCTGTGTTAACGAGAGTTTAAGCTTTACTTTCAATCGTCACGATACAGGACTTGCTGTTTGAAACCATTTGATAAACTTGTTATCTTGGATATTTTTTAATATAAAAATTGTTAGCGTAAACGAAATAGAAGAGCTAGAGAGTTTTAGGAACGATTAAAAAATCTCTATAAAGATGGTTTTATAAAAGTTAAGTAGACGCACGACGTTCCAGCAAAGAGCAACAGAAATTAAACATGCAATTTATTTGACGTGCTCATTTCTTCTCATCCATTTTCCTGTTCCGTAGGTTTGTTGGTTTTAGAATGTTCTCGCAAAATTAATTAATGGTCATCTTCAAATAATCGTTCATTATTTTCAATAGAAGGGGAAGGCAGCTAGTTAACAACATTAACTGCCAACTTTTGGGTTACTCTTATTTAATTGAATAATATGGTTTGACCGTCATTCTTATCTTATGACGCACCCCCGCCTGGCTCGGGATGGCCAGGTGGTTAGGGTGCTTGACTCGCAATCTGCAGGTCGCGGGTTCGAATCCCTGTCCTACCAAACATGCTTTTAGACGTGGGAGCGTCATAATGTGACGCTCAATCCCACTATTCGTTGGTAAAAAGACTAGCCCAAGAGTAGGCGGTGGGTGGTGATAACTAGCTGACTTCCCTTTAGTCTTTCACTGCTAAATTAGGGACGGTTAGAGCAGATAGCCCTCGTGTAGCTTTGCATGAAATTCAAAACAAACAAGCACCCACGCCCCAAAACGTTAAGCGCGTTTTTCACGGCAATGTGATGCGAACAATGAACACTATTCACAGTCCAGGTACGTAATCCACTATCCACGCCTAGCTCTTTCCCAAAACGGATATTTGTTTATAGTAGAATATTTCAACATTGTTAAGTACGAAATATACAGGTTGACACCTATTAGATAAACTTTTCCTTGGTTTTTGTATTTGCAAAATGTGTCAAAGGTCCACACTGCCAAAAACAAAAACAAAAAACACTTAAGAGTGAGTCTACAAAGAATGACAATAACATTAAATTTACGCTTATCACAATTTTGTTGATGGAATTTAATCTTAGATATTTGCGCGCTCTCTTTCTTTGCATGAATTTGGCAGATGTTCAAGAGTAAATAGTGTATTTAACTGTATATATATATTGCTTGGTAAATGTTTGAGAACATATTCAATTACTTTGTGTTTGACTGTTCTATAAAGTCGCTTAAGGGAATTGACTATGAACTTTCGAGTTTTCCCTCGTTCTCTCTATGTGTATAATCACTCAAGAGTAGGAAATTGCCAGTATATGTACTTCAAATAAACGCTTAAAAAATATAAAATATAGATTCACTGCAATATGATCATAAATCGTTTGAACAACGCATTAAATTTCAACGTAAGTAAATTTATTAATAACTACTGATCAAAATAAAATTAACTATATAGATCAGAGTTGAAAAGTAGTCTATCAAATCACTACGCCTATCTTGTCTAACCAACTTATTTAAAGTGGTATAAATTAATAGGCGAGATAAAACCTTTAGAGATTAGAATCGAGTAAGTCGTTAAATGGGTAATCTTTCTGTTGACAATAGTTCAACCGTAATCTCAATATTATCTCACGTGATTTCTGCTAACTTTGGAGATTTAGGCTAAATCTATATTCACAAAATTGCATTACTTTGTAGAATGAGAACATTGCTGCCTATGCTAATATTTTTTCGGTTAAATTATACAAGAACGTCATTTATTGCGGCTTTTAGTAAAGTAAGGAAAAAATACATGGATACAACGTTCCATTGGTGAATTTTCTATTCTTGGTCTCTGTAATATATGTTATTTAATGATACCAGATGAACGTTGTATCTAGGTATTTTTTCTTTAATATTCCAGTAAATGCCGTAATATATATCATTTTAAATTACTCGAGTAATTACACCAGTATAACTTACCATCAACTTTTGGACTACTCTTGTATGAGTAAATACCGTTACTCTTATATACCACCCACGTGACCCAAACATTGAACCATGAGACCACTAGACCATGACCGGCTCTAAGATGATATTATACTGTATTCTGAAGAATAATAAATTATATATATTACACAATGAACTGTTATTTAAAAGTCGATTTTGAACAGAAGTTCACATTCATTTGTACTATTTGTCAGTATGAAATGAATACAATTTTTATGGAATTCAATTTAGAGAAGTTAAAATCAAGTCTCATTATAATAGTACATAAAGTTGTGTGTTCTGGCTGCAATTAATCTACAATAAACAGCAGGATACAGAAATGTTAGGCAGAGAAAAAGTCCAACACCGACAGCAAAGAAATATAATCAATTACAAGTGTAATTTCTGTGATTGAACTACTTTTATTCTCATTTTATGAACTCGTCTATAGTGAAATCTCAGTATTAATTGAGAACGAATATTTCTATTGCACCATCCCATAATTCTAGACTAACTGCGTCAAAATCATTCTTGTTATACATTTAAAGGAAACAAACTCTAGCTCATATTAATTTGTACAAGTCGTTGTATCAACCTTCACCTCGATTACAATTTGCATGCTCAAATCGAGCATTGAGAAAGTACAAGCCTCCACAGAGTGACCATTGTTGTATGAAGCTTTTGTTTAAGTTATTACTGTAGTACAACTTTACAAAGTTTCACATCCTGTTTATGATGACATCAACTAACTAAATGCAAGATAACAAAACGAAAATTTTGAAAAAGTTTACTTGAATATACCCGAATAAAGATATCTTCTTTATTAGCTATGGAAGGGTAAAATATCTCAATTTTTCAAGCGTGAGAACTCTTCCTTCCTTATTTCAGGGTCTGAATCTTAAATTAAAAGTTCTAGTTTCCAATAAACACCTCCTCAGATTACATTTAAGAAATCATTACACTCACACCTGCAACACAAAGAGAAAAGTTTGCTAACATGCAAGCTTCAACGATCAGTTTAAATAAACAAAATGAGAATTAAGTCAAATATATTGAATGGTCTTAAAGAAAAATAAAGTATATAAAAAATCAAAATTTTTACAGAGTAAAACAAAATTACACAATAAATAAAACTAGAAACAGTGTTAAATAACATAAAAAAGAAACTTAACTAAACACAGAATTGTTTGTTTGTTTGAAGTTAAGCACAAAGCTTCACGATGGGCTATCTGTACTCTGCCCACCACGGGGATCGGAACCCGGTTTATAACGTCGTAAGTCCGCAGACATACCACTGTGCTACTTGGGGGGGGGGACACTAAACACAGAATTATATAAAATTATAAAATATAACCATGAAATATGTTAGTCAAAAAACAAACTGCATTTGACAACATCCATTGCCCTCTCTTGGACTGTTCTTTCCCAACGAACAGTGGGATTGACTACCACATTATAATGCACCAACATCTGAAAGATCGAGCATGTTCGGCGCCGGATTTCGATCCCACGTGTAATTTATAATCAATAAAAATGAATATAAAGTTAACATTAATTGAAAATACAAAATGAAATACTAGCGATAATAATTCATTTTAAATCATTAAAATTGAACTTCCTGTAAAATGTAATAAAATTATGAAATAAAACTAAAGAAAATATAAAGTTAAATGAAATGCACCTGAAATAAAAATATGAATGTAATACAAACTGGGTAAATTTTATACTATTACAGAGAATGTGCAATATTAATCAAAGAAACAAAATCAGGCACAAAATAAATGATAACTTAAACTGAAAATAAGATTTGAACACAGTACAAAACCAAGCATTGTGTTTTGTATTTTGCTTATAGATCGGAAATGATTAAAAGTTGAAATCAATTCTTATTTACTAATAGTTTGTAAAGCTATACGGCTACTAACTGAAATAAGTTTGTGAGAAACATATTTATTTGATTTTCTATCAACTTGACTTTATAGAAATCGGTTATACAATTTAAAATACAATTTATTTACTAAAAATAGATCTGTAAACTTAAAACTTAGAGATTAAAATTAATAACTATATAAATTGTATTACTTACATTGTTATTAAATGGTGTAAATAATAGATGAATTCTACAGAGTCTGTTCCCCACAGGGACAGCGGTAAGTTTACGGGTTTACAACGCTAGAATCAGAGATTCGATTTTTCTTGGTGGACAAAGCAGATAGCTCGATGTGGCTTTGCTATAAGAAAAACACACTCTACAGAATCTAAACATACCAATAGTTTAAGGTTTCTTATGAAAGTTTTCAAGAAAGGGTTTCCTATGCTCGGTGCCCTAAAGCCATATTTTCAGCCGTTTTTGTTTTTTTTTTGGTGAATTCCGTTTCCTAATTGATGTGTTGTTGGGATAATTTCTCATCAATTAGAACTTTGTATTACTCATTACCTAAATGATATTTGTATTATAAAAAGTTCTCAAATTAATTTTATACACAGTATTGGAAATTATTATGCAAACGGGAAGGAAAAAGAGCGAAAAAGACAAATATTACGGAAATGTTACCCCCATTATCGTATGATACATTGTACCAGATTAAAGTCGCGTGCTGATAGTTTACAATGTGACTGGTTGTCATACAACCAACCAGAAAATGCAATACCGGTTTAATGCCTAAAAATGTACAGGCAGTCATACTATGACCAATATCAATAGCAATAGTGTGAATCTAATCATAGTTCATAGAAGAAATCAAAATTTTGACTGGACTAGTCAAAGATATTCTACACGAAAAAAATTGCAGAGAGACCCCATGTTTCAGTAAGAATTGTATACTAAGCTCTGAAGAGGGTACATGAAACTGGCATTGTTAATAATAAAAGTTGTCGCGGTACATAAACGAAATTATCCAACAGTGATGTTAAGTAACTCAGTGTATGTTCTTTACGAGATAGATGATGGTTGAATTATCCACGGTCTTGTCCTAAAC